CAGTCAGATCTCTGCAGATGTTGTTTAACTTTATGCTAGAGCTGTATCCAAAGATGGAAATGAGATGGCAATCAAGCACAAATCTCCCATCCTCGTCCCCCCAATTTTATGTTGAAAAGCTGCACTTGCTCATAAAAGTTGTGCTTTATAACGTAGCTATACTAAACTGGAAACAAAATAAGAGTAAATTCCATGGTTTTAATAAAACTGTTTACTAAGTGAGTTTTAGTTAACAAGTGGCATAATGTGTTCAATAAATGGTACGTGTGTCATTTACAAGCTTAAAATGAACTTCTCTTAAGTTACAGCAAAACAAAAGAATAAAATAGACAAAATTTTGATTAGTTTTAATTATACCCCATACTACTTAGTGTTCATAAGATACAGATCACTTTTCCTCTTTATATATTATGTGAAACAGTTTCAATACATAAATATTGAACAATTTTGCCAATTGTGTTAAATATTTTAAAACTATTCCTAAAAGTCTGTAGGGCTGTATTTGTAAGGCAATTTTATTAGATATTTGTTATTTCCTCACAATGTTACAAATTTCAAATGAGAGATTTGTTCAAAATCCAGGTTTCAAATAACAAATTTCAAAGTGACACTGTGCTATACAATTCATGAAAACACTGACAAAGTAAATTGATGTTGTTCCATAGCTCACTAAATGAAAAATAAAATATCAAAATGAAATAAAAAGGAATCAGATAAAATGATTGCTTAGCTGTTTAACGCTTATTTAGTTTTTCTAAAAACTCCCACTACCCAAAACATTTGCTCACATGGATTAAGTGTAAAAATTGTATATTTCAGAATCTACAGTGTGATATAAATTATGCTATGCCAGTAACATTCCTTCATATGTTAAGACTGCTTTTAAAATGATAAAGTATTAAAAATAAAAATACAGGAAAATTTCAGAAAGATAGAAGAGTCTAAGTGGAAGATTGTGTTTTCTCCTTCAATTGAGGATAGAGATAACATATAAAATAACTCACAACAATAACTAGTGTGACAAACATAAATACTACAATTTTAAGGTTTAAAATAAAACACTTGTGTCAGCAACTCTTTGATCATACTAAAATTGAAAGTATAGCACTGTATAACTATCCTAACTAAAATGAACACATTGGAAATTACAGTATTTTATTTTCTGTGTTAAAATTCTATTTACTTACAAATTTTGCCTTAAAATATATACCAATAAATTTCTAAATACCTTGCATCTAAGATCAAAGAGTATATCTTGCAACTTTTAGAAGCTTTAACAAAAGTATTCATATTATAATGTCAATGTCATAATATTTTTCTTTCAACAATGTAAACAAAACAAGTAATTTATTTTAAACTTCAAACTCCTCTGATTTCCAGAAACATGACAATTTTTATATAACCCAAACCAGAAGGATAAATTAGCCACTGAATTTTCACCATGCCAAAAAAGAAGGAAGGCAATATATGGCAATTCCTTCACAAACAGAAAAATTCACTTATATATATTTACTTTTTCTCAATTTTCAAAACAAAATGAAAATAGTTTGTGATTTTTAAAAAACTAATCACCCAAATTAGACAGCAATAAAATTAACATATAATAAATCTAGGAATACTAAGTTCAAACTTTGACTTACAGACTATACAGAAAATAATTTATATTAAATATGATCCAGTTTTATAACTACAAATATGAAAACCAAGTAAAATATCCACCAATATATGCCAGAAGTATGGTGAAAAATCCTTGTTTGATCGATATATTAAATATCTCCAGTGTCATGTAATGACATAAAAATAGGTACACTATGAAGTGTCTAAAATCTAAAGCATACAAGACAGTATTTATTTTATATATCTTTTACTATTCCCAAACAATAATGTATTCAATGACTCTTAATTAACTGAACCAATCATTTAAAAATAATTTAACAGATAGTCAATCTATTTATTGATAAAAACTAAATAAATCTAAGAAGCCATATTAAAGAATGAAAAAGAACAGGATCGCTATTCTGAAAATGCAGTTACATATGCCCTAAAATAAGAAAGCAACAACTTCATGTAACCTACTAATAAAAAAGATATAAATAAAATTTGATTGTTCCAATGAAATAGAAAAAATTCATAAGCTATTGAGTAATAAGTTAGTATTCTGTAAGATTTACATTTATATAAATGGACAAATAAATTACACAGCAAGAAGTAAAATAAATCTTCTTAAATACCTTTTTCTTTCTGATTATAGTAACTGAAAAATATACCTCACAATCTTCATCATACAATCTCCCCAAATTATTTTATTTAATATATGACATGCAGATATACAGTGAAAATACAGTTCTACGAATTCTCAATTCATACCAGTTAATATGCAAAAGTATTTTCCTCATATTAACCATAAATATTAAACATGCTTAAGATGTTTTACAAATATTAGAGGGAAACAAATATGATAAATATGAAATTATATTGACTATAATAAAGATGATATACCTATCACTTGAATTGAAATTTATCAAAATATCCCCAAAGTATGCCTGTAGTTTGCATTTTGTATCCTGAAAACATTTATCTCAAATACACAAGTATTTTTAATTAAACCTCCAAAAACAATTATATTCTGTTTCAAAATGTAGATAGTATGAGAAAATTCACTATTATACAACTGAAGTATACTTTCCACAAATACACTCTTACCAAAGAAGAAACAGAAAAATGCTTCAAAAAATATCAGTCACATCCATTATAACAGAATACAAATCTAAATACAATTACAAAACACATAAAAATGTACTTTTGAATTACTGTATAATCCTACAAGAAAATCCTTATAACTCAACAATGTAATCAGTTTTATATAATTGAGTCCATCTGAGATGAACAAGGTAAACTATCCCTTACACATATCTGAATAAGAGAAGTTGAAGAGGGCTCAAAGGCTGCAATACTGAAGAATACCAGAACCTTAGATAATTCCACAGGCTTGTGGTCAAGTGTGAACAGATTGTTAACATTAAAGTCTATCAGAAGAGAGAGATGTCTCTGTCCAAACAGGTAACTAAAATTGTATTTAAATACAAAGTACTCAGACTAAATTGCAAGGCTCTATTTCATCCTTAAAATTGATACCATACTGTGTGATTGGTTTCCACCTGTTACAGGCAGAGTATAAGCCTTCTTTTATCCAGACAGTTCAACTCACATTTGATCAGGTTACGTCACTACACACACACATACACACACACAATTTTATTCAACACATTCCAGTTTTCCATTTTTTCCAAAATGTGTGCTTGCTCTATATGAATAACATGCCTCAGAGCTACAAATAAAATAAGCAATTTCGATGTAATAAAAAAAAATGCACAACTAAGTGGACTGAAAACAAAAGACCTAATTCTTGGTGCACCCTTTCTAACCTACTGAAAATAAACTATATTCAAATGAAAAGGCATTTAATTTACTATTTGGAATATCCTTGATAAACACCAATTTTCTGTAACATCACTGCACATCTGATACCACCTCATGTATAATGCAAAAAAGCTATTTCATTTTCATCTATTGACAGTGAATTTAATTTACCATTGCAGCTCTTTTCCTAAAACTATCACGTTATTAATTCTGCAATCAAGCTCTTTTGAGTGCTTTTATTTGTACTAAGGGTTTTCACAATTCCACATTGATTTTTTTCATCATAATATACCTTTTAACCATATGAATGTAAATATGTTAGCAAACTTTGTTAATGCATAAGGAAAGTTTCAGGAACAAGGAACACCATTTACAAAACTACACTCACTGGAAACAAAGTTTTAAAAGATGTTATCTCTAGCATATTACATTTTAGTTTAATAAATTTAAAGTTTACAAATATACTTCATTCAATTTATATACCTAAATAACAGTTTCAACCATTCTAAAACCTTCTTATCCAAAATAATGGTCCATTTTCTACCACCAAGTGATTGGCTATGAAGAAATCCTCCAAATGTTCTGCTTACATTCATGCCAGATGTCTTTGCTGTATTAAAGAACTCTTACTGAATTAGATCATTGAAAGCAAATCGGCTTTTCTTCTCCACCAGAAAAAAAAAAAAATAAGCAGTATCAGTTCCCTTAGCACTACATTAATATTTTTATGGTCATAAAGATAAAATACCCCCCCCCCACCAAAACCTAATCAGTTAATGAAGTTAATGATATTTTATCTGGTAAATGAACTATTCAATTATGGAGATTTCCCAATTAAACTTAAAGTCTATATACTGAGTAGCAAAATTTCAAAGAGGATAAATGTGCAGAACTGTTTAACATTTGAAATAAAAACACACTGTAAAGTACAAAAAAATTATATCACCTACAAAATTTGCCATATTCCCGTGGGTTAACATATTTTAATTAAATACAACTATTAAGCCACACAAATTTTAAAGCATTATTTTACTTCTTACATAATTATATGCTTCCAATTGCATTAAAAACTCAGTATTTTAAAAATCGTAAGAGGCAGCACTTGTTCTCTTACTTTACTCCAGGGCCAACAAACAAAGCAATGAAGCAGAAAGAGGTACATAATGGATTTAGAAGTAAATGGTCCATTCTTTGAGAAATCTTCCTACCCCCTCTTCTGAATTCACTCTAGACTAATTGTCATTACAATGATGTCTGAAACTTCAGAAGAACCCTATTTCCTGATGCCAGCTGTCCAAGTTTCTATCTTTAAATTTTAAAGTTGTTTCCTAATAAGAAATTAGTATTTAGAAATTTCCCAAAGATTCATCTCCCAATTGGTCTAAATCACATACACAGTATATAATTGAAAAAGAACATAATCAACAATGGAAATATTCTAATTTCCACAAACATTCTACTACAGCAAATGATAAAGCCTACACTAGTGAGAATTTCTTTCATTTCAGCACACAACACACACAGATCCTCCTTTCTCTCCTAGGAGATAAAGCAAACAATCTCTTTACCATTGCACCTACCTGGATAAAAATCTTTGGACTTAGACAGCTTGATGGTGGCTCCAGTTTCTTTTTGCAACTGAACAATTGTCTGTCCTCCCTTCCCAATTATAGATCCAGCAGCATAACTAGGTATGAGAACCTTTAGAAAATACTGGCCATCTTCTGAAAAATGCAAAGAAATATCTTGGGTTAACATGACATTTTAAAACTTGGTATTCCCTCTCCACCCTCAAGGGAGAAAAACAGCAATTAAAACATTGACATAAAGTGCGGCAAATATGGGGTTAAAATTTTAAAGAGCAAAAATAAGCAAAATACACTGAGAAATAAATATGCTCAAAATGTTTTCCATTTCCTAGGATTTACACTTTCAAACTTGGAATTAAAATTTTAACACGCGCTCTTATTTTGTAGCACTGTAAAAACTGATGACTAAATTCCAGTTGTTATTTCAAACATGGAAGTATTCCAATTCTATCTGTGGTTACTATGGTAAAATGAAATGAACTGACCCTCCAACAAAACTTCAGAAATTGATACCACGACAGACCTTCACTTAACAAGCTGCAAAATAATTAAAAGGGCTGTTAGTGATAAGCTACATTTGTTTGACATTAGCTAACACTACAATTAGCCATTGCCTATATCCTACTTAAAGTATGCAAAACATTCTCCTACCAAATAATCCACCCAAACTGTAGGGTGTATTCCAAGTCTTCAATAACTGCCAGGAAATAACTCAAAGTGGTGTAGACTGGCACATTTAACTAATCCTGGTGTATTTCTTTAGCACTTCTCAGTCTACCATGATCTGTTTAAGCTCATTAATTAAAGGACCTTAAGAATTTTGCCAATACTAAAAAAGCTTATGAGATTTATATAAAAAACGCTTACAAGTGACCAAACACATAATTATGTTCCTTCTCCAAAATAACCACAATAGAGAGGGGACGGATGATCCAAGACACAGTGAAATGAAAATGTTTTAGAAAATAAAGCCAACATCATGAACTTTAATTTCCGTCAAACTGATCATGTCTTAAATAGGAAACACCCCCGGTAAATCCAGCTTCCTTATGTGAATGAACGTTCCAAAATTTGCGGGCGTGCCGTCGCAAGACCCCCATCAGTCTCGTCTCTAATGTACATGCTGTAGATAAATTCACCTCTGCCTCGATGCATTGGGTGCATTGTTAAGATGACTCCAGTGCAAATGAAGAAGCGATCCCGGTCCCGTTATAACTCATCTTCCCAGGAAGCGCAGGATGTTAACTAACAAGTCACAGTACAAGACACCCCCACCCTCGTATGCACACCCTGAAGACAAAATCAATGAGATATTTTCACCGGCAATATAAGTGCGGTAAGAGCATGCACTCGAGATTTTGCATACTACTTGTGGCCAAAGCGAGGGGATGGAGAGAGAAAACTCTCCGGTGCCCCAATCATTTGCTATCCGCTAACCAAGTGCCATTTATTTATTTATTTTATCAGACTGTTAAATGCAGCGCGCATCTTCGGGCAGCCATCACCTCACTCGGGGGTCATCCTCCTTCTCCTGAAAGGAGCCCCTAGCCCAGGTCTAGGATATTTAAATGGTCAGCCTTTCGACCGATTAAATGGAAAGATAGGTCTATTCCGAAAAACCGGTCGCCATTTTGATGAATGATAAACACAGAAATGGAAATGTGTCTGGGACAGCGAGGTGCGGGGCAGGTGCAGGGGAGGGGGCGCGGGGCAAGGGCGCGGGAGCCGCCGGGTTCGGGCTGGAGGTGTCCGGGCCGCGGGAGGGAGGGAGGGTGGCGGGAGGGAGGGAGGCAGGGGCGGGCGGCGGGGGATGGGGCCAGCGGGAGGTGGAAGTGATACCCACCGCCCGTATTGGTCCTCTTGGTGCTGCCGGCTTCAGGGGGGGCTTCCAGCGGCCTTTTCCGAGAGTCCGGCGGGTCCAGGTCTATGGGAACCCCAGTGTGGGTCCCGTTCTGCTGGATGGGAGCTGCCGCCATCATGTTTGCTGTTCCTGCCGCTGCTACCGGGTTCTCCCTTTTGTTTTGGCTTTTTTTTTTTTTTTT